TGGCCTGTCTTTACACTTTTACTACATTGCCTCGGGACATCTTCTATTATTTGAAACCTGAGGTCCTTAGAGACCAAACAGCTTTTCTTTTTCAGACTTCAAAAAGCCTGATAGCTGAAGGCAGTTCTGGACTGAGATGTCACATCCCCGAGAACACGGGTATGTTATTCCTGACCTTTCTTCTCTCTGTGGATAGAAGCAATGAGTTTGTCTAGGAGGAAGGGGTTCAGAAATAGGTACAAAAAATGACTTTTCATTCTCCTTTTCCCAGTCCTCTTTGCTGTATCTCACACTAAGACACACACACACACACACACACTCACACAAATAGAAACAGAGAGAGGCTTCCATAGGTAATTTTGGGTCATCCTTACTCAGACATCCATTGACTTGCTAGGTAGGAGGTTGCTACCAACTGGTATTAATAAAGACCAGGAGCCAAGTTCAGATGGTTGACTCGCAGTCTAATAAGGAGATAAATAAATTAGCTTGTGTTAAGTATTCACCATAAACTACACAGGATTTTCTAGATTTTCCCAAATTTTATTTTACTTAATCTGTTGTTGACAGCAAGAAATTGACTTGGCTACAGTCCCAAAGCAAGTAAACATTAACTAAGAGTCTATCTCAACTTCTGGAGTTCAAATCCATCCACTCATTCAACAAAGATTTAAGAGTCTACCATACGGTTGGCACTAATCTAGGCAGTGGGTAATGATGCGCAAAACAGTGACAAAAAAATAATCCAGTAGTTATAAGACTGAGTCTTTGAAATTCTCTAAATGGGGTGGGTGTGATGACCGGGGATGATTCTTCAAGCACCTTTAGAAGCAATTTTCGAAGAAACTTTTATTTCCAGACTATCTATCTTGGTAGTTTGGACTTCTCTCTTTGTAACAATAATAATCCCTTAAATTTTAATGCTTTTCAGTTTCAAGATACCTTCTCATTTGTTATTTATTACATACCAAAACCCAAATCTGTTGCCGTTGAGTCGATTCTGACTCATAGTGACCCTATAGGACAGAGTAGAACTTGCCCCATAGAGTTTCCAAGGAGCAGCTGGTGGATTTGAACTCTCAGTCTTTTGGTTAGCAGCTGAGCTCTTAACCACTGAGCCACCAGGGATCCATTTATTACATAAGGCGTAGTATATCAGTACTACCTTTAGGTATTTTTAAAATGTCTTTTCCTTTTCAAGACTCCTTCAGATATTTATTTTAGGTCTTTGCCTGACCTGGGTGGCAGGAGATAGAGCAGCAGCAAGATTCAGGCCTTGCAACACTTCAGGAATAACGCTGGGTAATGAGGCCTTTCCTCTCTTTGCTAACTCCAGATTTCGCCACTTGCTCTGTATCCAGACACGTTTATTAATAGAGTTGGAATCAACTTGACACCAACGGGTTTGTTTTTTTTTTTAATTGGCAATGAGCAATAGAAAGAGCTGTCCTTCAAGAAAACACAGAAAGTACCCTGAATATTATTTCCTGATGGGTGAAGATGGCAGTCAGATGTAGTTCAGTCTGGTATGTGTGTGTGATGGTTATTAGTAATTGAACCTACAGCTTAGATGAGTATACTCAGGTGGTCAGTATTAACCAAAGGAATTGATCAAATAAGTGTCTGAGAAGGTGTTTTGGAAAGGAATTCAGAATCCACACTGAATTAGCTACATTTCATTCTTGGAGTTTCCCCAGCCTGTTTAATCCTACCTCGTGTTGGGGAAAAGAGGTTGGTTTATGAGATGGGAAGGTGAATGTCTGCTTAGTCAAAGGATTACAGTACTTAACTAGCAGTTTTCCCTTCCTGGGCTCCCCCCACCAATGAGCAGCAAAATTTGGCTGGAGCTCTAAACTTTGACCCAGCTTCTTCATCTTGCCAAGGCCCAGTTTCTTCATGTACATAGCTGTACATGAATATAGGTATGTAGTTGTTGTGATGTGCCGTCGAATCAATTCCGACTCATAGCAACCCTATAGGACAGAGTAGAACTGCCCCATAGGGTTTCCAAGGAGCAGCTGGTGGATTTGAACTGCTGACCTTTTGGTTAGCAGCCAAGCTCTTAATCACTTTGCCATCAGGGCTCCTGAATATTATAATAAATATATACACATATACACACATATGTATTATGTATCTATCTAACTTATGGAATTACTGTGTTTAAATGAAGAAATGCACTCAAAAAGAATGTTTTATACTCTTTAGAATAGTGGTTCTCAACTAAGGGCATTGTTGTCCCCCAGAGGACATATGGCCATGTCTGGAGACATTTTTGGCTGTCACAGTGGGGAGGGGGTGTTACTGGCATCTGGTGGGTAGAGGCCAGAGATGCTGTTAAATGTTCTTCAATGCAGAGGACACTCTCTCACAACAAAGAACCATCCAGCACATAATATCAAGAGTGCTGAGGTTGAGAAACTGTTCTGGAACATTGTACAGATTTTTCAATTAAGTAGTTATGTGATGTTGAGGGCATCACTTACCTCAGTTTGCTACTATGTAGGATCAGGAAACTCCCTGAAATAGATTATAGGATATTGTGTCTGCTAAAGTAAAGAATCTATACTCATGACAAAAAAACTGGATAAATGTAACAGAAAGTTTTGCTGGTGGGAGAGTTAACTGGTACATTGCTGGGTGGAGATCTATCAATAATTAAAAATTCTTGAAAAATATGAAATTCTAGAAATTTATCCTAGGGAAATAAAGAGGGCATGAGAAGATCTCCAATGATATTCACTGGAGCATTGTTCATACACCAAAAAAACCCAAACCTGTTGCAGTAGAGTCGATTCCAACTCATAGCAACCCTATAGGACACAGTAGAACTGCCCCCATAAGGTTTCTCCAAGGCTGTACATCTTTACGGAAGCAACTACCACATCTTTCTCCTGCAGAGTGGCTAGTTGGGTTCCAACCGCTGACCTTTTGGTTCACAGCCGAACGCTTAACCCAGTGCGCCATCAGGGCTCCAGCATAGTTTATAAAGGTGAAAATTGGAATCAAGGCAGTGAGTATTATCATGGGCCCTGCCAGCAGTGTTTCCCGAGCTGGCTGAGCCAATTCTTGTAATAACAGTCACACCACTTGTGTGCATATGGTTATCCAAACAGAATGAGATGGACTGGTCCCTTTTCTCTGTGGTACAACATAGAGCTCCTCACCCACCTGATCACTGCAGTTGATCAATATTTAAATTGAATAAATAACATCTTAAAAACTAGGCTGCAGACACATCAAAATTTGCATTTCTATGATATAAACAGGTAGAAGAATCCAAGGTAAGTCAAGGTCAAGCAGAGCTGAAGCTTTTTTCTCTTCCTAGTCCATTATTTTTCCCTTTCCCTCTTTCTTTCCACCTGTTCTCTCTTCCTTTTTCTGAGCCTGGTCTCACCCACTTGACTACCAGGAGCAAGCAAAACATGTAAACACCTCAGGTTGAAGAAAAACAATAGGAGAGAGAGAATGGTCTAAAATTAGGGCACCTGCCATTCTCCAGCCCTGTCTATCCCAAAACTCACTGTTACTTCTGAATAGTTTTCCTACCTCAAATCTAAGCTAATATTTTGGCAGGAAGCATGGACCCAGATAGACAAAACAAAAACAAAACGAACAAACACACAAACAAAGCCAACAGGCTATTTTGCTCTGAAGTTAAATGGTATAAAAATATTTGCTACTGATGTGCTATTCAGTTCAACAAATATTTATGTGTGCGATGGGCCATGGTAGGTTGGGTGGGCCAGAGAAGATGAAGACATTCACTGTCCCAAGGGGCTTGGAGCTATTTAGGGAGTTGGGAGGTTGCTCAACTAATTGTATGATAATCAACCAGAACTCAAGAGTTTTGTGAATGTAGAGAAAGGAGGGCTTAACTGTAACCAAGATAAACAACAAAGACTTCTGACAGAAGGTGAATATATATGTATGTGTGTGTATCTCTCTCACTCTATATATATAGCTCACCCCTTCAGTTGAACCACTGTTGAAGGATAAGCTCATAAAGACATTAAATTAAGAGTTGAAATTAAAGTCTCTGGATTTAGCAACAAACAGTCCAGAGTTTTAATTCCGTCTCCAACACTTATCAGTCAATAATTATTTAAATATTTAAAAAAGATAGTGGTAGCTCTCCAGTCTCAAATAAGAGCTACAAAATTTTAGGAGCAGATAGTAGCCATGAAAAGGAGACCAAGTATAAAATACACTGGAAATAACCTAAAGTAAGAAAGCAAAATGCTATATCTGCATGCTTTAAATCATAGAGCACTTTATAAAAACAAAAAATTGAAAATGAGGAAGTACAGCATTGTTACCATATATACAGTTTCTCCCACTGTGAAATGAGGAAAATAATAGGATCAACCTCAAAGAGTTGATGTGAGGATTAAATGAATTAACTATAAGTAAAGCCCTTGGAGAAGTGCATGGTATATAGTAAGCTATTATTTTGATTTCTATGATTAATACCATTTAATTATATGTGCATATAATATGTCAAGAAATCTCTATAGAGGCTGTATTCTTGGGAGTGGAATGGAGAAGAGAAGGAATGAGAGATATATACTCTTTACTTCATACTGTTTTATTTTTTAAAATTGATTAAAATTTTAAAAACAATGCTGCAGACACATCAAAATTAGTAATTATATGATATAAAACAGGTAGAAGAATCTAAGCTCTGAGTCTATGGACTTTGGATTCAGAAATATAAATGTGTGAGTTTTGGTTCTGACCCCTAGTAATTAGATTATCTTGGTTAATATTAACCTCCTTGAACCTTAACTTTTTCATCTGTAAAATGGGCATAATAGCACCTACCTCATAGGATTAAGTGCTATAATATAATGGAAGCATGTGCTTTACACATAGTACATTCTCTACATATATTAATTTTCTTTTTTTTATATCACCCTGCCATTCCCTCTTATACTTTCATCTGAGTTTCATTGACTTCTCCTCTTGAATCACTGCAGGCTAAATTCAAGTTGATATCAATGGAGAATAGCACAGAAGCAACAGAGTTCATCCTCTTGGGATTAACAGATGATCCCAATCTTCAGGTTCCCCTCCTCCTGATATTTTTGTTCATCTACCTCATCACTCTGGTTGGGAATGGGGGGATGATAGTGATCACCTACTCCGACTCCCACCTCCACACTCCAATGTACTTCTTCCTCAGTAACCTCTCCTTTGTAGACTTGGGTTACTCATCAGCTGTAGCTCCCAAGATGGTGGCTGCATTGCAGTCAGGGAACAAAGTCATCTCTTTCAACGGATGTGCTGCTCAGTTCTTCTTCTTTGTGGGTTTTGCCACAGCTGAGTGCTATCTCCTGGCTTCCATGGCTTATGACCGCCATGCAGGGGTATGTAGGCCTCTTCATTACACCACCACCATGACGGCAGGTGTGTGTGCCCGCCTAACTATTGGCTCCTATGTCTTTGGCTTTCTCAATTCCTCCATCCATGCAGCAGACACCTTCCGACTCTCCTTTTGTGGTTCTAATGAGATTCATCATTTTTTCTGTGACATCCCACCACTCTTGGCCCTCTCATGCTCTGACACACGCATCAGCAAGTTGGTTGTCTTCTTTGTCGTGAGCTTCAATGTCTTTTTCAGCCTCCTGGTCATCCTCATCTCTTACCTCTTCATATACATTGCCATTCAAAGGATGCGTTCAGTTGAAGGGCGGAAGAAAGCCTTCTCCACTTGTGCTTCCCACCTCACTGCGGTCTCCATCTTCTATGGCACAATAATCTTCATGTACCTGCACCCCAGCTCTGGTCAGTCCATGGACACAGACAAAATAGCATCTGTGTTTTACACTGTGGTGATTCCGATGCTGAACCCCTTGATCTACAGCCTTAGGAACAAAGAAGTGAAAAGTGCTCTCTGGAAAATACTCAACAAATTTTACCCCTGATCTTTAAGACTGAGTAGGAAGTAGACAGATGACTAAGAGAAAAACCTTCTCTCAGACCTAAGTGCCTCCGTGACCACTGAGGTTTGGCAGATTTCAGTTCTCTCTTCCCCAAGAATGGTAGTTACTTCTGCTAGAAGGAAAGGCCATAAAAAGTAGCACTTTGAAATGCCTCACTCAGGGGAGTATTATTATATTAGTGAACAAGAATATGGAACATTTAAACCCTCCTTGCATTAGATTCATGATGCATTTTAAAGCAGATTGAAACATATAACTGAATGCACTGAGTTCCCACTCTCTCCATTTGTAGTTGGTAGAAATTTTTATTCAATATTAAATTCGGTCTAAGGATCAAATCTTCATCTGGAATATATAGATAACATGTTTTTCATTCCTTTGGTCCTTGTGTTTGAAATTTAAAGTTTCTAATGCTCACAGAGGAATTTTTCATATTTTATAAATAATGTCTCAGAAACGGTTACAATTTAAAGGACCCAACGGTGGACCAAGAGTCATGTAACCCAGGATTGAATCCTGCCAATCATCCCACCCCTGCTTACCCACCCCCACTTCACCCTTTCTCACTGGCCATGTGTGTTTGCACTCTAGACCTCCTTCTGCTAAAGTGCTGGGACAATTTTGGTAGAAAACAATAAGCCATCTTTTATACAGAAGTATGTAACATTTTCAGTAGATGAACTGCTTAAATTTAACCTGGATAAACATATCTTCCTTTCGAGAGCCTACACTCTGTTCTCTGCTTTTGGCCTTTGTCTAACATAATTACAAAACCTTGCAGAACGTTTGGAGGAATAAACAGCAATTTTTCCAAAGGCTATGAAAGGGGATATTTGTCTTCTGAATTAAATGCTTGCATTTCTCACCACCCTTAAGTTTGGATAATCTATTATGAACACACATAATAGCTTTCTGTGCCCTCTTTGCTTTCATTTTTTCAATAATTCAGTTACTCTCTGGGCATTCTGATGTTCTGTAATTAGATGCTACAAGAATAAAAAAGCCTGCCTAGAAATTTACTTCTTAAGATAAGAATGGCATGATGACGCACATCCCAAGTCCACCTTCAGGTCTTGTTTCATGTGCTAGGTGGTGTGAGTGAATGTGTGTGCGTGGGACGGGAGAGGTGATTAATTTTGCTTCTCACTTATCAACTGTTGATGATGTTGATAGCTACAATTATTCTAAGTCACCAAATAGTTCAGGAGTTTAAGGTCTGAAGAAAAACAATCAGTTTTTACTTTAGATGTGAAAACTGGAAATCTTAGTGGGCTAAATCAAGTGATTTAGAAGGTCAAAATCTATTTTGAGATGATCAAACTCCTTAATGCACAGAGCAGCCTTCTTGAGGAGGGTTGATTGTAGGACTGTGGAGAGAGGAACAAAGAGAGAGTTTCAGAATATAACGTTTACCATTTAGAAAAATTTTTTTCTAGCACAATCACTGCCGTCATCTACAGAGATGTGGAGCTTCTTCTGGATCCAAGGCCTTGACAGCTTGGCCTTGCCTCATCTGTCTTCCTGCCATCTTCTTCTTTGGCAGTGAGGCCAATCTAGCAACACGCATGGAAAACCAACCTTCAAGGCCAGGATCCACTGCACACAGGAGTCCTTCTCAGTGACTCACAAAAGTTACAGAGCTCAAGGGCACCCAGATTTGGAGATTAGTCTGAGTAACAGCTATCAAAGCATTTAGCCATTCCAATCTTAGCTCAGTCTTTTTTTCCACTTGATATAATTAATTGACTTCTCCTTTGCCTCCTCTTCCCACTCCTTGTCTACTTCCTGTTTTCCCTTTCCCTTCCCCTTTTTCTCTTCCTTTTCTTATTCAATCTCTTTCTATCCTCAGCCCAAGCAAGAAATTTCCCCACCACTAAACCATTAAACCAAAAACACCAGTTGCCATTGAATTCACTCTGACTCATGGCAACCCCATGTGTGTCAGAGTAGAACTGCTCTGTAGGGTTTTCAAAGGCTGATTTTTTGGAAGCAGATCACCAGGCCTTTCTTCCAAGGTTCCTCTGGGAACTCTAACCTCCAACCTTTTGGTTAGCAGCCAAGTGTGTTAACTGTTTGCACCACCCAGGAACTCCACTATTCCATTAGGACTCTCTGGAAAATTAAAGTCCATAGTTTGTATATTATAACCATTACAGTACATAGCAAGGCATATTTCTGGACATCTTTCTTTCTGCATCTACACCCCAGTTTGGGCAGAAAAATGTGGGTCTGTTAAAGTCAAAGTCTTAATGTGTACATATTACTGTTTTCTGTTTAAGTCACTTCAAATTTGTGCTTCATTTGACTTGAAAATGGCTAAAAAAGACTACTGCTTCAGTATCATGAGCTGGATGTCCATCCTTACTCTTCTTATCCATTGTAGGATCTCAGAGAAGTCATTTAATCTCTCTGAACCCAACCTACAGGATAAACTGTGAGGATAGCATCGAATAAAGTATGTGAAAGTACCTGTTGTAATGAAATCATGTGGAATACAGTTGGGATCCCTCTACTGGCTCTTCATTTAGTGGTCCTTGTACTTCCCACTTTTGGTTCCTGAGCTCCCCAAGTCTCTCCACCCATTCAAGTCCAAGTCTTTATTTTCATGCATTGTTGTTTAGCTTCCTGCCCTCCAACCTCCTTGCTCTACAGCAGACCCGTTTCAAGCTGACAGTACATGAGTGTTTATTTACAAAAACTACTCAGAAGGATACATCTTGTTGCCAGCAAGGTGTCAACTTGCAGAGTACACATTGCAGTGGGAAGCTCTTCACCTCCACACGGGAAATCTGTTAAATGGAGACCAAAAGTCCACTTGGTTATTAACAACACCCACCCTCTCCCTGCAGGAGAGGTCGGATAAGTGAGAGATGCTATAAGGAAGGCCTATAGCTCAGAGCAGTGCAATACAGCCACAGGAAGACTTCCTGCCTTTAATGTCCACACCAGAATGTGAAACCACATCAATCCGGGCAATTATTCATATCAGGGTAGATTACTACAGGACAGACAATTACAAAGGATTCATGATTGAATTGTTCTAAATAGGTGGTCCCTTTCTGCATCATAGGGTGGCTATGAGTCAGAATTGACTTGATAGCAGTGGGTTTGGTTTTGTGCATTAGATTACTTGTTTAGCGCTATGTATCGGGAAAGGAAAATTAACATATTAGGAGTCCTGGCCGACTGAAGCTAGAATTACAGTCATAGAAACTTTAGTCCTCAGAGAGTCCTTAAAAATAATCTAAACTAACCCTCTAATTTTACAGATGGAAACCCTGACTCCCACAGTTTAACTCGCTTAAACTCACAGAGAACCAAATCTTGATCCTTATTCATATTTCACATTCTATAAAGTTTTGATGTGTTGAAAGACATTTTTACATTTTTTTTTTGCTTTATTTGTTCACTATAAGATAGGTTTTTGTGCTTCGGTTTTGCAGGTAAGGAAATTGAAGTTTCAGTGTTAACTTACCTGCCCACAATTAAAAAGAGGATCCAGTTTTATTTGTGATTACCAGGGATGGGAAGGAGGGGAAAAGATGGGAGTCATTGCTTAGGGGGCACTAAACTTCTGTGAATAGTGATGGAAAAGTGTGGAGATGGATGGTGGTGATGGTTGCACAACATGATGAATGCAGTTAATGTTACTGAATCACACATGTAAAAAATGTTGAGATGGTAAATGTTTTACATATGTATGTATACATACATACATATATGTATATGCATACATATATAAACACACACATATATATATACACACCACAATTTAAAAAAAGAAGAGGAGCCAGAATTTGAACCTCAATCTCTGCCGTCCCCGCCCAATGCGCCAAGAAAAGTAGCCTCATATTTTAGTGAGCTTCAATGGAGAACTCATTTGATACCTAAATAACTTGCAAATAGTCTCTCATGATGAGTACCCTCTGTGTGAAATGTGCCCTGGATAATGCATATTTATAAGTCATGATTCTCACTTCAACAAAGCAAAGCCTTCCACATATATAGTGATTGATGTAACGCACTTTGAGATTAATGACTCAGTGTTCAATAACTTTATTGATAGGCATTTTTCCTATACTCCAAGGCCCATGAATGAATCAAGGAGTGTTTGTTTTCAGTCTTGGCAGTTGGAGCTGGCTATCTGTGAAGGCTGAAGTCCACAAAGGTAACCAAACACCCAGCCAATGTTGAGTGGATACAAGATGCAGGTGTGAGATCTGTGAAGGAACCATGTGATATACAACATTGGTCCTACCTTAGGAGCTTATAGCAGTGCAGAGGAACAAGGCATATATGTCTAGATAGATGACAGTAGAAGGCATTTGTGGCCATTATCAAGCAAGTAATATAGACTATAATTAGAACTCTTCAGGGACAAGAAATAATACTGTAAGCAGGGAAGGCTCCCTGGAGGAGGTTAGACTTAACTCAGGCTCTGAAAGGGTAATGTAAAAAGAGCCCAGAATTCCAAGATAGGAGATGTGTGTACATATGTGTGTGTTTAGAACTGTCTTAAAAAATCAGTGAGAAAAGAACAGACAACCCAATCGGAAAACTTAAAATTTAATTATTCACTCTATTATTTATGCTCGTTTGGCTTAGCTTCAGTTTTGGGCAAATGATGAACAATGTTACCATGAACATTTTGGTCTATGGGTATACGTGTATGTATACATTCAGTTCACTAGGGTATATATATACCTGGAGTGGAATTGCTGAGTCACAGAGTATACAAGTTTTTAACCTTACTAAACAATGTGACACTATATTCCAAAGTGGTTGTACCAATTTATACCCCCATGAGCATTATGTGAGAGTTCCCACTGCCAACATTTGGTATTACTGGACTTTTATGCCAATTTGATGAGAGAATAGTGTCTTTTATTGTTATTTTAGTTTGCATTTCCTTGATTAGTTATAAAGTCACCTGCCCTTTTGTTTGTTTTTACTGAAATTTATACCCATTTTTTTATTGCCATGTAAAAATAAAGCAAGATACAAACAGATACAAACAGAAGGAATGGGAATAGATATACTGGGACTTCCGTTCTATTTCTGACTTGTGTAGTAGATGTACTGGCATTTTGGTAACTATTGCTAAACTGAATATACATGTTTTGTGCATTT